TCAACCTCGGAGAGTGTCAAGTTGGCGCATGGCACAGAATCACTGCACCCAAAATGCATTGGTGGACTCCGGACATCATATGTTCCCTTTATGTTGTCGTACAATATGTCTGATACAAATACTGCCGAGGTCTGGTTGGCACAATTCTTTGACAGGCAATAGAATTGGTCTATTATAATTGGGTTCCTCACATTGTCCATGTGAATGTTACTGAATGTCACTCCAGATACTGCTCCAGATCCACCTTGCCATGTCTTGATCCTGACTCCGTTGTTCGACGCTTTTATCACCGAGTCTTTGACCTAGTAACACAAAGTCGGATAATTTTTTTTTTTCAGTGGGGACACAATACGAAAAATAGAAAAGATTTTTTTTTTTGGTCGAATAATTTTCGTACCGTGATATTCGTCACACATGCCCGCGAGTTGTGCTTGCCTAGACTCCCAATGCTGAGGTGGAAAATGTAAAGAATTTTATAAGCTGAAAGAAAATACATGAATATTGATCTTACTGATAAAAAGTACTGATTAGTGTAATACCTTATTCCATGACCGGGTCCACAAGTGATGTTCCTTATGTTTACATCATGACAGCCTGATCCAATTGATACACAGTCGTCACCTTTTGAGAAGATCATTAAATAATTAGTATTTTTGAGAAGCTTTCTGATCGAGATTAATTAACGGATAACTGAAATTAATTAGGTGAGGTTTTAGTCTAACCATTAGAAATGACTGAATTGTAGATTTCAACACCAATTGTGTTCTCTATGTGAATCCCATCAGTATTCGGACTCAGTGCAGGGGCTGTTATAGAGATAGATTCTATATGAACATTCTGGCAGCTGTCGAATCGGAAATGGAACTGAGGGCTGTTCTTGATCCTAAGTCCTTGTACTGTCAAGTTGGAGCTCATGAAAAACCTGATTGCCTGCATCACAATTCAAGTTCTCAGTTCTCACTTAGCAAAAACTTTAAACTATATATAGATGTTGGCAAGACATTTATTTAACTTACAATCGGGCTATCACATGGTCCAGGCAATGTAGTTCCATTCTTTCCCTGTGACACGTTTGATGAAATATTTCAAAATTTTAGTAATGACAAATGAACAATGATACACATAATGAAAAATTTTATTTATGCAAGTTCTATAAAATTAATATTAACTGTTTCGTGAGGAATTGCGAAGAAATTACAATTGAGTGTCATGAAACTGGTTTTTTTATTTTATTTTATTTTATTTAGGAATAAGCAGAGACATACCTTGTGGGGTTTGCAGGGGAGATCCCACCATTTCTGACCTCTTCCATCAATTAGGCCACCTCCTTGCAATGCCATTTCATTGATTCTATAGAAGACAAGCCATTGGCGTCTACTGCTGTTATTTGGCCACGAATCAGGTCCGTCCGGAGGCATTACAGTTCCATCAACCTTAAGTCACCATTTTGTACCAAAACTGGTTAGTCTTATTCTTTTCTAAGAAATTGGCTCAAAGAAATAAAAACCAAAATGCCAATACCTGAAACACAAGGCTTGATTTGCAAGGGCCAGTGAAAATGGTGGATTGAATCATGAAGGAGAATCCCCTGGGAACAAGGATAAGTGAGGAAGCAGAGTCACTCTGGCAGGCGGTGTCCCATGCCATCTTGAATGCATCCGTGTCATCCGTCACCCCATCTCCAGCCGCACCAAATTTTCTCACGTCGAAAACTCCACTAGAATTCGTAATTGGACTGCCATCATTGTAAGGTGGCTCAGCAGGCTCAGGAGCAGGCTTGGGTGCCGAGGGCTCAGGCGCCACGGGCTCGGGTGTTGGTGAAGTTGAAGGAGGTTGTGATTTATGTGATCCTTTGTGCTTGTGTTTCAAATGGTGCTTCCTAGCTTGTGTCAAGTGGACTAAGCAAAGGATGGAAATGCATAACAACAGCACGACCATATTAGACAAACGAAAATCCTTCATGTTTAGTGAATACTTGGGCTCACTTGACTTTCAAGAATTGGGACCAAAATCTGGAAAGTGGTGCTGCCAATGGGAAATGTTGGGAAAACCAAGCTAACTCAAAGGAATTTCAAGTATCAAAAAAGACATGAAAAACACCCAAAGTTATGGGAAGTAGAGAAAAAGGAACTTAGCAAGTTGGTGATACTGGTAATTGCTGCAAGTGAGTGAGTGAGTGACCACAGTGTGAGCGACTCAGAGTGAATAGCGTAAGCTAAACTAAGCTAGAGAACAAGTTGCCAAAGTAGTTTATTAAGGTTTTTAAACTAGGGAATGCATATATGAAACATATAGAATATATGTGTATATATAATAGGGATAGTTAGTGGAAGCTGCTTCAAACTTTTTAGCTGCACCTTACGTTTGTTTTTTAACATATTTTGGGGGCGGGAACCGACCAATTCCATATAGGCATTTGGTTTTGACTTTTTATTATTATTTTTTTTTTCACTTTGCTTTTCTGGTTTTTTTTTTTTTTTTTTTTTTGGGGTTTGGGGGGGGTGCTTATGGACGGGTCGAGAGAGAGAGAGAGAGAGAGAGAGAGAGAGAGAGAGAGAAAGAGAGAGAGAAAAAGGGAAGGTAAACGGTATAACAGAAAAGATGTGATGGGGGAAGGCAGTCGATAATAAGCTACCCATGTTCTTCCCATAACTGTCACTTTCTCTGGTCCCGGAATATACATGTATATAATATTATGGTTATTTCAAGTTTCAACGGTGATGAGCACAACACTAGTACTAGGGTCTATTCTTTTCGCTGATTCGAGTTTAGAATTCGAGTTTTGTTATAGTAAAAAGTTTTCAGAAACAGTCACATCTAACTTTTTTATTACAGTAAAAAGCTCTTACAGAACATCACATCTCAACTCGAATTAAAAACTCGAATTAGCGAACCGAACAGGCCCAAGAGTTTCCCAATATTTTTAATCAATAATTTCTTTTTTCTTTCCATGCGTATATATGTTGATTTGGAGCTTGGAATATGGACAACTTTCATTTCAAACAGGGAATTTTTGTAGATATGTGATATGACCCTATAATCACAGGCCAAGTCCCAATGAAGATTCTAGAAGTAGTTAAATTAAGCATAACGATATTCAGATTTAGTGGGGCTGCAAAGAGAACACTATTAAATACAATTCAACGCACTAGACTATGACTGCCACTGGTATTTATTCTCAATACACACAATACAAGAAAACCTAATTATAGTCAAGGAAGTAAGTATCAATAATTTTATCATTATTTCTTCAACATTATTGTAAATGTAGGTTTTGTGATGGAAGCTATGTCCACGTGGAATTTTGGCATCTCGTTTAGTTCGCTGATTCGAGTTTTTAATTCGAGTTGAGATGTGACTTTATGTGAGAGCTTTTTACTGTAGCAAAAAAGTTAGGGCCCGTTTAGTTCGCTGATTCGAGTTTTTAATTTGAGTTGAGATGTGATTTTATGTGAGAGCTTTTTACTGTAATAAAAAAGTTAGATTTGATTGTTTGTGAGAGCTTTTTACTGTAGTAAAACTCGAATTCTAAACTCGAATCAGCGAAATGAACGGGGCCTTAGATGTGACTGTTTCTGAGAGTTTTTTATTGTAGCAAAACTCGAATTCTAAACTCGAATAGGTGAAGTGAACGGGACATATACATGGTTTAGTTTTTATCCATGTTGGCATCCGTCTCGATATTGTTCAATAAAAAAAATTCAATATTTTTGTTGGTGTCGATATTTTTATTCTTGATTATGTTGCATCATTAAAAAAAAAAAATCTTTTTTGAGTTATTCGGAAGAAGAGATGATCAAGTAACAAACAATGTACTTTACCAATCTTTTATTCGGAAAATTAGCTTTCAGATTAGATGACATTCAAGTAAAAAAAAAAAGAAGAGAAAAGAAAAAAGTATCACCCGCCCATAACTTGTTAATTTATTAGAGAGTACAATATTGGTCCTTGCGGATATCAAGTGGAGAGTTGAACGGCCTTTAAGATGTAGACTAATTTGTATAATTAAGGGAAGTTAGAATGGAAAGTGGATTATTAGTTAGCTAACAGCCGCTATCACAATCCGCTTCACATATTTCCTTGTGGTGGAATTGTGGCCCTGCTCGATTGACTGTAACATTAAAAAATTTGAACCATGAAATACTCAACTTTTATCTCAAAACCGACCAATTCGATTGCATGAGAGTTTCGTCATCATGTTTGAGTTTTGATTTTGCAACTAAAAGAATAAGTTATTTATCACCATTAATAATGCAAACATCGTATATATAATTATCGTATTTGTTGTTATAGTGTCGAAATTATCGATTGCATATCAATGCATCAAAACTACCACATAACAACGAGAGATTTTAATAACTTTATTTTTGTTATTAAATGAGTTTATGTTACTGATTATGTGTGTTGTGATGCATCATCGATAACGACGAGTATAACAATGTATATTTTAAATATAAATATATTATAACTGCGGATGTGGGTGGCATGGCTTAGCCGAAAAGGTTTCCAGTGATCTTTTTAATGTTTGGTTGGGCAGGCAGTCCACCACTACTTGTTCCACTTGGGAACTTTCTTTGGCCGACCATATTGATCCTTAATGTTGCTTGCATTGCATGAACTGCGCTTCTTTTCTGGGTTTCTTGGTTTCTACTTCAATTATGACTAGGTCCACTCGGGATCCCTTCTTTTTGGCTCAAATGGGTTGGTGGATTTCTATCTATAATTTGGAACTTAGATATGCCTTGAGTTCTAAGTTTCATCTTAATTGCTGGCGAATATTAGCAAGTCATTTTAATTTGTGGCCTAACTTATACTAAACTAAATTCAACTAATTGATTCTCCTCCACAAGTTTTTCTGATCATAAACATTCTCCTCCACAAGCTTTTCTGATCATAAACATTCTCCTCGTCCTCTATGTAGCTACTTAATTATAACTTTATCGTTGTGTTTTTTATTCGCGTTGCTCATTTAGAGAGAGATATTGTGATTTTCCATTTAGTCATTTTCTTGGCATTGGAAGACACTGCTGAAGAATGAAAGTAGGAGTTGGAGATGCTGCAACAAAAGAAAATGTAACTATAAATATTGATATAAATTCACTTTATTTGTATATATAAATAATGTAGAACTCGAGTTTATTTTACCCTTTATACATCCTATGATATAAATTGTACTTTCTAAGAACTTAAATTTTCATCTTAAAAATATAGAAGAGTTTAATGTCGTTATAAATGTATATTTGCTTTTACATTTAAATAATGTAAAATTCGGGTATATTTTATCTTTATTATTATTATTAAACGTAGATTCGGGTATACTTTATCTTTACAAATATGAAAATCACGTGATAAATGATATTATGGAGGTCCCAACAAAATGAAATATGACGTCAAATATTAAACAGAGTAACGAGTTTCAAGCTTCATCTTAATTTAAGAGCAAGTCATTTTAATTTGTAGCCTAGTTAATGCTAAACAAAATTCAACTAAATGATTCTCCTCCCAAGTTTTTGCTGCTTAATTATAATTATTTTGTTAGTTGGATATTAACAAAATGAAATGTGACGTCAAATATTAAACAGAGTAATGAGTTTCAAGCTTCATCTTAATTTCAGAACGGGTCATTTTAATAAATAGCCTAACTAATGCTAAACTAAATTCAACTAAACGATTGAGTTTATTTCATTAATGCAAACTGTTGCACCATGGTCGAGATTTCCGACCAGAGTTGTCGAGGGTTCCATAAGTCAAGATTGAGTTTAGTCGTCAAGAGGCATCAGTTAAGGCAAGATACTTAGGTTGAGGAACTCTTATACAGTTGAGTGATCGCGGTTGAAAAGTCTCAAAAGGGTCACGAAGATATCTACATGGACCCAAAATCCACTGAGATGCAACAATGGGTCAAGGCCTGTGGGCCGGCCTAGGCCCATCCTGACATAGTGATGGGACAGGCCGGCACGGCCCGTCACTGTTTAAGGTACAGCCCAGCCCATAAATATTGGTGGGCTGGATTGAGCGAACATATATCGGCCTATGGGCCGGCACGGCACAGCCCATGAAAAATCATGGGCCAGGCCAGGCTGGGCCGGCCCGTCTAGGCCCATAATGGCCCGGCCCAGCCAAGCCCGTCTAGGCCCATAATATTTTTATGTTTTTTTTCTTTTTTTAGTAATTTTGTAAACATCTTATGTATAATTATCTTTATTTTACTCTTTTTCCCTTACTAAGATTTTCTCCCACTGGGTTTTTCTTAGAAATATTTTTATTTAATGAGATAATCGTAAATAAAATATCTTTTTTTCATATTTCCATTGACTATTTAAACCTATATATTTTTTAACTTGTTTAAAAATTAAAAATAAAAATAAAAATAAAAAAATTGAAAATTGCATGCTTAGATTGGCTGGCCCATCTAAACCCATGATGGGCCAAGCCCATTCAAGGCCCATGGCACGGCCCATCCTGGCCCGCGTCACAGCCCAGCCTGACCCACGTAAAATTGGCCCGTGGTGCGGGCTGGGCCGAGGTTATTCTTATACGGGCCGGCCCAACCCGGCCCACAAAATTCATGGGATGGGCCGGTCCTGCCCGCGGCCCGAGTGGGCCTAAGGAGAACGGGTCAGGCCGACCCGTTATTGCAGCTCTAAACCCACAGAATCAGGAGATGATAACATTCATCTCATATTCAAAATTAAATAGAAGATCAGATTTGGATTATCATCTACAACCATATGTTTAAATAATTAAATATAGAGATAAAGCTACGAAAATCCCTATATGGGGATGAAATAGGAAGCTTATCTCGTAATGTAATTTCGAGATAAAAGATAGTGTACAGGAGAACCTATAAATAAGGGTTAAACTCCTCATTTATTTTCTATACACAATTTTCTACTCTAAGAGAGATCTTCTGTACTCTTAAGACTTAGTGCATCCACAAGTGGACGTAGACAACAACATTTTTTTCGAACCACTATAAATTCGTGTGTTCTCTTTATTTTCTACATTTATTTTTAAGTTAATTTGTGAAAATCATAACATGAGTATTCCCAAAATAATAAATTTTGAGTTAACAAATTTTCACCCTCAACACAAACTTTATTTATAGCTTTCTAGGAAATATCAATCAAACTTATAGAAACCAAACTGATAGATTTTGAATATATATTAGTTGGCTTCAAACTCACTTCTCCATCTATGCGGTGTCTTTCTTTTTTCTTTTTTCTTTTTTTTTTGGAGAAGAAGAGCTATAACTACTTTTTGGTCTTATCTGGTTGTTTGCAGAGGCATCACCGTACTTGATTCTCTGATTTGGTTCCAGATTTTTTGAACAATTGAAGGTGTGATTGTTCTTGCTTTGAAACTGCTCGCATAAAGAAAAGAAACATCACTTTTACCCACCAATGACAATATTGTTGCTTGACATGAATTCCAAATGTTTAATCTTTGCAGACTTCGATCATGCAACGATGGATTCTATAACCAGGGCAAAGGGTTGATGGTACTCTTTTTCCACTCCAGAGTAGAGGGTCGTGTCGGGCCGGCACGATCCTTTTAACCGCAGGCCCGTGGTGGGCCTGGCCGTGTCAGGGCCAGGCTTGAGGAGAAACCCTCAGACCCAGCACTGGCCCTCGGCCCTATATGGATAAGGGCTGGGCCTGGGCCCAAGCCCTTTTAATTTTTTTTTGCAATATTTAATTAAAAAAAGAAAATATATCATATGTCACCAAAATATGTGATTTTATTAAATTGAGATAATACAAATAAGTATACATAAATGACTGTCTCGTTAAAAACTTTGCCAAATAAAACTCGTGAGAAGATCGGGACAAAACCTTAGCGAAGGAAAAAAGAGTGCAGTATTCTAGAATAAGTAAATTACATAACGTAAGTGCTTCCAGAAGATTCTGTTATGTCTAAGCTCAATCTTAACCTAATTTTCTTAATGCACTTGAGTTTCACTTATGATTAACAATTTTTTTAGGATTTTTTTATAATTTCAAATTTGATGACAAAAAAATAATATATTATATGCCTCAAAAAATGTGATTTTATTGAAATAATATGAATAATTACAATAAAAGGATTGGTTGACCGGACGATTGGTCGGCTAGTTGGTCCTAAAATACCTCAAACCTCATTAAAATTTCATGTTGCGGGCCTGACCCTTCGCGTGCCTGGGCCGTGCCTGGCTCTTCGCGTGCCTAGACCTTGGCTGGCCTAGGCTATGAGCCTCAAACATGAGGCTCAACCTAGTCCCTTAATGCCAAGCTGGCATATAACAATACAGAGTCAGGCCGGACCAAATTAATTACTGTAGTGGGTTGAGTCGGGTCATCCCAGTCCCATTGACACCTCTACTCTAGAGTAGTAATTTCTCCAAATTTTTGAGTAGTTGAGTCCGCCTTTTTTTCCTCGGGGGTTGCACTTGCCGCGAGCTATTTATTCAGTTGCTAATAAGGTGTTATTTTCATTTTTCTACTGTTGTATATATATATATATATATATGGTTGTTTATTGTTTTTCTACGACACTATTAAGTACTTATTGTAATTTTCATTTTTTTTTTATCAATAAATAGAGTGGAGAACTTGGTGTAAGATAGGTATCTAGCAGGTGAGACGCAAGTTCCATAAGCTGCTCAAGAGCCTCCTTTTGCAACCACTCAGTAATGTTTCTAGAAGAAATAACACCATTGACAACCTAATACAGAAACATAGGCGCGTATTAAAGAATATTGTCAACCTTCTCTATTTTCCCTTTCAAAACTTAACTGCTCGTCACACAAAGATATATAGCGGCTCCACTTAACAAAAAGGAAGAACAAGTTTATACAGTTATCAGACGCCAAACAAAACTTTACAAAGCATATCAATTACCAAATGCATATGTAATGCATAAACACGTATGTATATATATATATATATATATAGAGAGAGAGAGAGAGAGAGAGAGAGAGAGAGAGAGAGAGAGAGAGAGGACACAAAAGGGATGATATATATATATATATATATATATATAGAGAGAGAGAGAGAGAGAGGACACAAACGGGTTGTGCATTTACCTCTAACACGACAGTTAGTTGCATTATGAAAATGTTAGTTTCCTCTCTAGAATTCCTTGTATTGGCGGTCAAGACAGATGACAACCATAGCAAGAGACCACAACTTTCAACCAGATGACGAGTCAACTTATAAGATTTAACGGACCTCTTCACCACCTGCAGATCAAGAAAAGGTAAAGTTATTTACAATATCAATGTGTCACGATATTGTGTACCCAACACGCTAGGTTCTTAAAATTACAGCATGGCATGTGCAGAAAGGTGCTCCTTAAAGTTTAAGTAAACAACTAAGATAAAAGAATCCCCCCACAATGAGCTAAGAGAATACCTGAAGAATTAGATCCTTGGACTCGGTGTCTGAAAGTGGAGAAAAGTAAAAGCTCATGAAAGTCTCAGGAATGGAGTTTCTGATGTAAATTTGGGCATCATCACTCGAGTTTAACCCCGCATATACTAGGCGAAGTATCCACAACCTATCTGCTCTATAATTCACAGAGGTGCTCCAGAAAAAATCACTAAACACAGGTACATTCTGCAATTACAGAACATGATCGACAACCATTAAAGCATCAATAAGAATGTGGACGCAGTATTCTAGTTTTAAAAAGGGTCTCATTTTAATTCATATCACAAAACATTTACCTTCAGATTTAACTTGGATGAATTCATCAAAAGTCTACTTAAGGTTGAATACTGATCATGTGAAGGATCTAACAGAATAAATGATGCTTCTGCGGCAAAAATTGAAACAACAGATGGAATTCTCTGCCATGGCTCTTCTATGCCATTTTGCAAAGAAGAAAGCAGTAGTCGAATACGTGTCACTTCCTTCCTCTTTTTACATTGCTGTAAGAGATAGTAAAAAGACCTCTATTAACAAAGAACTTAAAAACAAAAACAAAACAAAGGAATATCATGGTCATCTAAGCAATAAAATGTCTATCAAATATTGGTTCTTAAGAGATAGCGAAGAAACAGATAAATTATGTACTAGAAATAAAAGATCAGGCATAACTTGCAATATGCAGCATTACCTCCAATGTGTCCTTAAATTTCCCAAGAGTGCTATAAGCCAACTTTCTTATCCCCTCATCAGGTGATGACATGCTAACAAATGCAATGGCAAGCAAGCCTAAACCAGCAAACTCCATAGGTTCAATATAACCCACAGTTAGACTATAAAGCGAGAACCGCAGGATGAAAACAGGATCATATCGCTCTAGGTTTTCAACATCAAGAGGACGCGTCTGTGTAAAATTCTGCATAGTAATCAGTGAGAATTATGCAAGTTGGTCGACAGAATACAAATCAAAAGCCACGGCTAAATATAATCACATTTGTCTTATGAAACTAGAAAAATAAACATACCACAAGCATACAGGCAAAATTATAAATATAGCAGACTTGGTCGTGTGGTCTAGTAGACTAGGTCGACTCTTTAAGTTCGATCAATTGAGCTCGCACTCGATTTCATGACTTTCAAGAGCTCCCAGTCCTCAGAATCCTTACTCGTTCTTGGGCTCTATAGCAGACTTGTGTTCGACTGAAGATTTAGGCTTACCAAATCTGATACTAACAATCAGCCAGTAAAGTAAATATATTCTTACGAGAGAAGTTCAAAGGGTAACACCTACCTATCTTATCCAGGTTTCTGCGTTGAATTCCATCACCAGGTCAAACTTTATCCTTTCGATTCATTTCCTCCATCAATTTCATTCATGTGGGGGATTGGTAGAAAAATGACTTGAAAACCCTTTTTGGGTACAACTTTGAGGATCAATTTTGAGCAGGACCCACTTCGTGTTAGTGGCGGGTTAATTTAGATTTGTGTTCTCTGTCATGAGGAGATCGAAGTGATATGTTCATATGCTTAAAATGGTAAACGGAATGAGAAATTGACTCTCAAAGTGCTCCAATGAAGTTGAAAAAACTGAAGTGAAAACTCCAATAAAGTTGGGAAACTAATGAAAAAGCTATTTATCCACATAGAAAAGAGACAAAGTCGTTGTCTCTTCTAAGCCTTATAAAAAGGACCCCCACTCCTCAATTACGACACACTAAAATTTCAGAACTTTCTTGTCGCCTCAGAAATACTCCATCTCTCTAGTGTCTTAAGAATTCAGTGCGGTAGAGTTCTAGTAGTATAGAGGTGTGTACTTTTGGACAGTGCCAAAGATCAATCCAGTCCATTCCATTCTTTCTTTTAACATGGCAACGGAGGCTTTTCTTGAGACATGATTGCCTGATAGGATGTAGTAAGGTGTATTTTTCGTTGGTATGTGTAGTTTTGAATGATTCTCCAACCTTCCTTTCCTTTCCTTTCCTAATACCATGATAGATCATTAGATTGAGATGTGGGTGATGGACAAGATCCGAGTTGAAGTCCCTGTTTGGACTAAACATTGTACCATCACATCCTCTCTAAGAATAGAAAGGCCTCTCTTATTTTGAAAAGAATACCTTCCCCTGACAACATTTGATGGGAAGCTCCACAGATATAATCTTGTTATCGAAACACTTCATTAGAAAATCAGGGACATAATTAGAAAATCCCTTAATCAGAGGGATCTGATGTAAAGAGGTTAGATTAGTTCCTATGTTGGTGCTAAGCCTGTGTAGATTCGAATCAATGAAGAAAATGGTTACGTTCCTACGCATCAGAAGATACAAAAAAACTGGTATGCTTACTCTTGTACGGAGACTCTAGATCGGGGCAACGGAGGAACCTAAGGGAACGTTTGGAAGAGGGATTCGTGTCATGATTCGAATCATGGTTCGTGGTTCGCTACAGTATTTTTTCTCACAAAAAACACACGTAAAACAAGAATAATTCTGAATCCATAAACCAAACGTATTCTAAGTTAACTAGAGATTAATTACTTCTCTGCCCTATATCCGCCTTGTCAATAAGTCTAGTTGGGAAAAGATGCATCATATAAGAATCGCGTTCAAAAGAGACTAGAGACTATTTTTCAGCGTTTTTGTATACAGCCTATGGTTGACAGGAGATGTAATATAAGCGAACACACTTTTTCTGTAATTGGTGCTTGTAGCCTGTACTCTATTCTTTTTTAAGATCTTTACGCTTTGGTATAAGTGAACCCTCCATTGTTGGAATTCATTGCCAAGTACAGTGGTTTTATATCATGCCTTATTGTACATTTTTATCCCTTCATAATCATGTTCAATTGAAGCCTTTCTTTTTTTTCATATTTTAGCGCACACGTGTATATATATATATATATATATCCTACGGTTGAGAGGTGCAATAAGATTTTTTTCTATGAAAAAGGATATAGTGGTGCATTTCATGTCTCTTAGTCCCTTCGGCTTAATAGCAATCCTGAAGACCACTGAGTATGTAGAAAGGACCTGAACAGTCTCCCACCGACCATCCAACTAATTTTCACTCCTCTCTATTCTGTGAGGCCCGCGGAGGCCCACTTAATCTCCCACAAAGGACAGGGCAACAACGAGTGGATGCGGAGTATCGAATCTTGAAAAGATGGGCAGAGAGCAAAGGCATAATAAGGGCCCATTTAGTTCTCTGATTCGAATTTTTAATTCGAGTTTAGATGGACTTTATGTGAGAACTTTTTACTGTAGCAAAAAAGATAAATGTGACTGTTTCTAGAGCTTTGTACTGTAACAAAACTCAAATTTTAAACTCAAATCAATGAAATGAACGGCCTATTACTACCTTGTTGTGAGCTGTGGAATATGTTGTGTTCCTCTTTTAAAGTGCATCTTCTCGGCATATTCATCTAACAAATTTACTGTTAACTTGCTTTAAGTCCAATTTTTCATGAAACTGACTTTTATACCCTTTTTTCAGATATTCAGGGACATGTTCCAAAATTTTGGAGAAAAATCTCTAAAAAAAAATGGAGAATATTAAGGGCCCGTTTAATTCGCTGATTCGAGTTAAGATGTGATTTTATGTGATAACCATTTAATATAATAAAAAAATCATACATAACTGTTTTTGAAAATTTTTTACTGTAACAAAACTCGAATTCTAAACTTAAAACGGCAAAATAAACAGAACTTAAGATGTCCTTTTTATTTATCCGTGAACATCTATGGAAGATAAAAAGGTCAGGGACAACAGAAACTAAAAATCTTCTTTTGCGAAATCATATTTCTGAAATTTGCGTCTGTACACTTTTAAGCCGATAATCTCTAGATACTAGACTTTGTAACATTCTGTACCTATTGTTACAACAAGCTATTTTATAATGCAATTTTTTCACTCCCAATTATTGCACTCATCAAGTCCCAAAATGCCCTTTTCCCGTTCAAAGGAATCAATTTTCCGCACATCTTCTGTTAGACTTCGGAGAGATTCAGAGTTCATACTCCCGAGCACATTCGACATAACGAAAAGAAGAGTTTGACAAGCATGGAGTTCATCCAACTTCTGCGAATCAGTTAATTCCAAAGAGAGGTCCTTCCAAGGTTGGTAAAATGACCTGTAGAAACAATGTGCAAGATCAAGATAATTTGATTGCAAGGACATGGAACATCAAATTCAAACCATCTTAATTTGCGTAAAAGAAACAAAACCCATTTAACATATCAAGTTTTCGTGGGCTTTTTTAACAGTAACTTCATAGAAAAGCAAACAGAAAAGAAATGAGATGAAAAATGAGAGGGAGGGATGACTAAATATTACCATCTCCAGGAAGGATTAGCTTCGGCGGGGGGGCAAATTCTTGACCAAAGTGATTCCAAGAGTGATCTTAATCCATGACCACGCAAAACATCTGATTAAGGGAGAAATAAAAACATAATGAGTTAAAGCACAAATGTATATTTGCACCTACATTATTTGTGTTTGACTGTGTGCAATAATAAAACATTTAGCACCAAAGTGCAAGCATATCTACTATTTAGCGCTTTTGCTACCGGAACTTTTACTGAATTTGGCAAGTTGCCCCCTGAAGTTTTAATTGTAAATTCATAGGATTTTTAATTAAAATTAAAAAGTGTCGGGCGTAGATTGCTAAATGGAAAAAACTTTTAGGGGATAGATGTACTAAACAATGAAAAAAAAAAAGGTGTAGCATCATTTCCAAACAAATGAATCAATATACCCGCAAGATTGAAGGCGTGGAGGAGGAGAATACTAAGTGCAGACACAACTGACGGTAGCACTTTGTGATTTGTGCCAACAAGCCGTTGGAGGAAGAGAATTGTAGAAGCTAAAAATTCTTCCCGGCCAACTCCATTTTGGTTGCTTTCTTCACATGCAGTTTCAACATGATCCAATGAACTCAATAGATCCTTAACGCTTGACCCTGTCTTTGGATCCAAATCATTCGAGTTTGTAACTAGCTTCCCTAGGATTACAGAAGCAGTAAGCCAACGAAGAAGTTTCGATAATAAAGAGTCTTCATGTTGCTCTTCCTCTAATATGAATGAGAGACTCTGCTGTGATAATTTGCTTTGAGGTGATTTTGCACATTCTGCTTGCAAAGCAGAGGAAACTGCCCACATAAGAAACCTTGAAAGCTTTTCTTGACTCTGGAACACATCAAAACAGGTTTTCATTGAATGATCAAGAAAATACAGCATGATGGATTTGTCAATTTATGTAGAACACGGGACAAGGAGAAAGAATATCATTTATCACAGGAGGAGGGGCGGAGAGAGAGACAGAGAGAGAGAGAGAGGAAACGGTACCATGGAAAAAATGGCAGCTGGAGGTGTACTCATGAGTATGGCTTTGAGACCAAACTCGGCATTAGCACAAGTTATCACATCATCATCCGTACTGAGAACTTCACATATTTGATATAAACCTTCAATTGATAGGTTGAAATGGGGTTGATATATCTTCCTTTTCTGGGATATCTTCAATGTTGATATCAATGTTTCTAGAAGAAGATTGACCAATGTAGCGTGTTCTTTCACCGATACCATACCATCAACCAAGAATCTGTACAGGTGAGACACGAGTTCCATAAGCTGCTCAAGAGCCTCCTTTTGCAACCACTCGGTAATGTTTCTAGAAGAAATGACACCATTGACAACCTAATACAGAAACATAGGCGCGTAAGCAGCAAATTAAAGAATATTGTCAACCTTCTCTATTTTCCCTTTCAAAACTTAACTGCTCGTGACACAAAGATATATAGCGGCTCCACTTAACAAAAAGGAAGAACAAGTTTATACAGTGATCAGACACCTAACAAAACTTTACAAAGCATATCAATTACCAAATGCATATGTAATGCATAAACACGTATATATATATATATATATATATATATATAGAGAGAGAGAGGACACAAACGGGTTGTGCATTTACCTCTAACACCACAGTTAGTTGCATTATGAAAATGTTAGTTTCGTCTCTAGAATTCCTTGTGTTGGCGGTCAAGACAGATGACAACCATAGCAAGAGACCACAACTTTCAACCAGATGACGGGTCAACTTATAAAATTTAACGGACCTCTTCACCACCTGCAGATCAAGAAAAGGTAAAGTTATTTACAATATCAATGTGTCACGATATTGTGTACCCAACACGCTAGGTTCTTAAATATTACAGCATGGCATATGCAGAAAGGTGCTCCTTAAAGTTTAAGTAAACAACTAAGACAAAAGAATCTCCCACAATGAGCTAAGAGAATACCTGAAGAATTAGATCCTTGGACTCGGTGTCTGAAAGTGGAGAAAAGTAAAAGCTCATGAAAGTCTCAGGAATGGAGTTTCTGATGTAAATTTGGGCATCATCACTCGAGTTTAACCCCGCATATACTAGGCGAAGTATCCACAACCTATCTGCTCTATAATTCACAGAGGTGCTCCAGAAAAAATCACTAAACACAGGTACATTCTGCAATTACAGAACATGATCGACAACCATTAAAGCATCAATAAGAATGTGGACGCAGTATTCTAGTTTTAAAAAGGGTCTCATTTTAATTCATATCACAAAACATTTACCTTCAGATTTAACTTGGATGAATTCATCAAAAGTCTACTTAAGGTTGAATACTGATCATGTGAAGGATCTAACAGAATAAATGATGCTTCTGCGGCAAAAATTGAAACAACAGATGGAATTCTCTGCCATGGCTCTTCTATGCCATTTTGCAAAGAAGAAAGCAGTAGTCGAATACGTGTCACTTCCTTCCTCTTTTTACATTGCTGTAAGAGATAGTAAAAAGACCTCTATTAACAAAGAACTTAAAAACAAAAACAAAAACAAAACAAAGGAATATCATGGTCATCTAAGCAATAAAATGTCTATCAAATATTGGTTCTTAAGAGATAGTGAAGAAACAGATAAATTATGTACTAGAAATAAAAGATCATGCAGAACTTGCAATATGCAGCATTACCTCCAATGTGTCCTTAAATTTCCCAAGAGTGCTATAAGCCAACTTTCTTATCCCCTCATCAGGTGATGACATGCTAACAAATGCAATGGCAAGCAAGCCTAAACCAGCAAACTCCATAGGTTCAATATAACCCACAGTTAGACTATAAAGCGAGAACCGCAGGATGAAAACAGGATCATATCGCTCTAGGTTTTCAACATCAGAAGGACGCGTCTGTGTATAATTCTGCATAGTAATCAGTGAGAATTATGCAAGTCAGTCGACAGAATACAAATCAAAAGCCACGGCTAAATATAATCACATTTGTCTTTATGAAACTAGAAAAATAAACATACCACAATCATACAGGCAAAATTATCAGCTCGAAACTTGTCCAAGGATACTGGTTCATGAGATGCAGTTCTATCATAAGGAAAATACAGCACCGTGGATGCACATATTTTGGGGTCAACAGGAAGGTTTTCTCTAAATTGACTTCTACGACGTTCTTTAACTGCTTCAGCATCATTCATGATATCTTGTTCCAGAGCCTGTTCTTTTTCTACTTTTGAAGCAGCAGTCCCCCATAGATGATCCAACCCAGCAATATTCTCAGCCTCCAAACCATCAAAAGATTCGATTGTCGACATCAGATTGTATATCTCCATGTCCATTTCATTTAGCTTTGCACCATAAGAGGACAGAAGCAGTAAATGCAGTTTCCTGAACTTTATGCCTAGACTTTTTCCGAAATCAGAAGCAGACTGATGAGATTTGAACGAAAAGAGTACTCGGAGTAATTTAATTACCCCCAACTGTTTTAAGTACAGGTCCATTGTTTCCAGCTCATGATTTCCATCAGATGTGTTTTTGTCAGCCGTAGGGAAAACAAGATGTCTCAAAACACCAGGCAAAGGTCTCAAGAATGCCCCAATATGGGAACAATTTGTCGAGTTGGAAACTGAGTGAATGGTTGACTCAAACTGAGAGTGCGCAAGTAGGAGCTGGAGATAAAAGTCACGTGAAAATTTACCCTCGGACAACACAGTTAGAATACCTTGGAGCATTTTTAAAGTTGTAGGGTCTTCAAACCTATATCTGAGAGCTGATTTCATCAATTGTTCTAGGAAGGGAATAGATTCTAGCTGGATAAGACTACCATGCATTTCTGTTGTTAATTCAAGGATACTTTGCAATATGAAAGCTTCCAAGTATCGGAACAGGGACACAATGTCTGTCCTCTTTTTGTAACTACCAGAAACTAAAGGAAATTTCTTAACAATCGACTGCCAAAGACCCACCAAAATCTTTACGAAGTCCATTCCTGAGCAATCCTCTTTAGTAGACCCCATTTCCCAAGGAGTTTCTTTTAAACCCCCATCCTCTTTTGGTATAGACTGAATCTGATTACAATTAGGAAATAACAGCACCCTGCACAATGATATCTTTGCGAGAACTCTATTTATGAGGTTCAATGCTTGGTTAAGTGAGCAAGAATCTGCTGCAATAAAATCAGAGTCTACCAACTCCTCGTGTGAAGTAGAAACTGGGAATATGGAATTAAATAGCTTCAACCTCTTCTTCATTTTCATTGAACCTCCATCCAGGGCAAAGTGAAATTGCAACATACGAATGGCTTTTCCAAGAAGACTATCATTTACAAGAATGAGAAGCTCTTGAGTAGATGTTGGTAAGAAATTTCCATATTCCTCCCAAAACACGTCGCTAGACACAAAGCTCTTCCAATCACGGAAACCCTTCAAAAGAATTGTTGAATAAAAAGAAGGTATACTTCTAAAATGCTTGTAATTTTGCAGTCCAAACTTCATGATAGAAGAATTTAAGTATGACAAAGCGGTAGGTAAAAGCATCATATACTCCTCATCAGAAAGAGCAAAGCCACGGCTTTCTTCTGCCTTATTGCCTCTGTGAACCAAATCTTTGTTTACAAGACTCAAAAATAAGTCTCCAAAGATTGACAAATGAAGGGAACTCATATCAGTGAGAAGAAACAACAGCTTAGCTTTGGTCATAGTTGTTCTATAGGTGCAATGGGGAAGGATTTTCACAGAAGTGTTCATAATAACTCTTGACATTACCAAACTCAAACGATGAAAACTATGATGCCGCCTGAATTTCTGCATCTGAGCAGCATTAACGGCTTCCAGCAAGCACATGTCTGCATACTCTGTTTCAAAATGCATGGCAAGCCAAGTCACTTGAATGTAGATTTCCTCAACAATGTTGACATTCTTATTTTCTTCCACATCCCAAAGCATGTCATATTTTCTTCTCTTTGACAGTGGCTGCATCAAATAAGCAGATAGATTTCTGAAAGCACCAACAGCAATACAAAATCCAAAAGAGATAGGAGATGTCTTGTTAGAGTTCTCGTCTGTCAATTTATCAACATTAACTCTCTTAAACATCCACTGCACCAATTCAAGCAGCTCGACAGGAGATGCAAAATGAATCATCGCATGTAAAGCATAATACGGCTGGAGGAGTTGTATTAGATCCCCTGTGGAAATGCATCGGTCAAATCCCTCCTTCACTTCCTTAAGAATCATCTGTATCAGCATATTAACAACCTTCACAAGCTTATTACCAACAACATTTTTTACTTTGACCTCAAAATGGTGATCATCACACAGGGAAAACAAGTACTCAGAAGTTCTTACCAACATATCTAAAATATGGTGATCCAACTTATGGACGCTCTGCCTGGATGAATTAGTCAAAGAACCTATACTGTTGAGCAGGTTTGCCTTTGCCAAGCTCACATCACAGCCCAAAGGGCGGGATATTGATGTTTCCACAGCAGGATGACAGAAGATGGTTACTGCCACTTCTTGAATCTCTTGTGTTGACAAGAGAACCCTGGAAGTTCTGGGACAATCAGAATCAATCTTTATATCTAACAGCTGAACCAACAGGTCTTTTAAGAGAACAAAGCAAATCTCAGAAAGTTCTTGTAATTTCGCTGCTGGGCTAACTCTATAAGATGATTGTATCTGGTGAATCCAAAAGAGCAAAAGGCGCAGATAGGAAACAAAGCGGCCATCAAATTTCCACTCTGACAGTTTAGCCAAAAGCAGGTCTTTTATCTTCGTGGGCTCTGAGGAATAAGGACCATCGGTGCTCATAATGGAAGGAAATAAAACATGGAAAGGTGCCTGCTTCAAAAAGAAACTAAAGGTAAATGCAGCTGAAGCAGCTTCATTTGTATCAAACTCCTTGGTACCAACCATTTCTTCCATGGCCAAAGCATAATCTGTAGCTCCACAAGCATCATCCTTCCTGTCTTTGTAATAAGTACTAGATACCGTCATTTCAAGGCCAGCAAAAAATACTTCAGGCCAGAAATTAGAGACACTTGTTAGGAGGGTTTGTTCAAGAAAGAAAAGTGATGGCATAAGATATGCAGGAACACTAGGGAGAATTTTTGAAATGGACATAACAGTTGGAAAAGAATTTAATATCTCTTTAGGTGTCGCACAAATAATTGAGGAAGAGAAGGCTTTAGTTATTCCTGCTATTTCATCGTCATTCCCATTCCTAAGGGATCTTTTAACTTCACTCAGGGCAACCCCGAAAGAACTAGCATCCGGCTTAGCTTTCTTATCAATAGAAAAGATACATGCTTGTTGATGCAATATGCTTCGGGAAAAGAGTAATAGATTCTTCAATGGCCTCCACTCACAGAAGGCAGCCTCAGAGTCATCAGTAACAGAACCATGTTCACCAACTCTCTCCAACAAGATTGCATCAATTACAGCGGATAACAATCTTGCATCTACCTATCAATATTAGTTCTGATATCAGATATTTTACAAACAGCAAGCAATTATATGCTAACACCAGAACGTTTACCTGAGTTTGCAAGATGTACTTTAGTGTGTCACAAACATATAATGATATCATTGATTTCTCTGGCAATGTAAAGGTTCCAGATTCAGAATCAAGCAACCTTATACATTTCTGCAGTATACATACTACAAGAGGGCTGAAATCAGGTGATGCATCTGCAAGGAGGAAAAAAACAAGACAAAATTAGAAAGAACTATATAGGTAATAAGTCAATAAATGATGTGAAAAATATGAACTAAGGAACAAATAATTCCTTCTTCCCTCCCATTCTTAGCATGGACCGATTCCACTCGACAAAAATTTTTGTTGAAGAAATAAAATTTAAAACGTCGCAAGGCAATAGTTTAACAAATTAACTCGAAAACAATATAATATCCAGTCAGCTATATAAAACTGTTATAAAAAATTAGGTCATGCATTTTTTTTATGTAACAAAGAAGAATTGGTATCCTTTTTTATAATGTAGCAAAGAAGAAACGGTCATGCAATTGTCACCATTACAAGAAGAACACGCAAAAAAAAATGATACTTTGTAAGATTCCCATATCACATTATAATTGAACATATAGTGTTCTGAAAATAGTAAATATTATGCAGCCAAGAATGACAAGCATCAAAATCTAACACTATACTCAAACAAGGAGCAAATCTGATAATAAAATGTAAATAACTTATAGATACCGTATGAAACATAGTTACCTTTCAAAACTTTTAAATTGCAGGTATGACGCTGAACAATGTCCCAGTATTTGAATAAATTATTTCCCACAGTAGAAATTGCATCACATAAGAATGAGATGACAACTTGACACATCCTCTGTAACGCTTCCACTCCTGGAACATGAAAAGAAGGTTTTCTTCTATCATAACCTGGTAAAAACAAGAACCATGATCCAATTTCATGACGATTTCTATCAAAGGCACCGGTACTTAACATGGCCGCTTGTGCCAGATCATATGCCTGATTCTTAATGTCGCTGATTGGTGAAAATATTAACAAGCTCATAAATGACTGAAGGTGTTTATACATCAGAAGTGGGGAGCTAATGGGAATTCCAGTGGGAGACCACCGGACGTATTCAATTAACAAAGATAATAGAGAGCGCTGTAAATTAGTATGCAAGGCTAAAGGGTCGGTTAAGAGATTTATAAGGAACTCAAATGATCCCTCCAAAGCAGTTGGCAAAACTTGCTGCAAAATAAGAAACAAAACATGTTAAAAAAATTCCAGAGGACAGGTACTCTGATTGAAACTAGAAGCTGAGCTAGATTCTTGAAATCCTTTAACAATGCTGAATATGAATAACAGAAACAAAACTTACGAAATAAGTTTTCAGAGCATCAAGCAGCTTAGACTGAAAGTATGTCTCTGCCTCCTTCACTGCAGAAACAGTCATGAAGCCTAAATCTGGGCCCCAAATTTCTTGAAGAACATTCACAATATCCTTTCCAGGGTCAAACTCGTCTGCTGTAGGTGTGCTTGAAGCTTTTTCACTTTCCTCGTGTGAGGCGAGGTCTGCACAAAAATTTATTCCACCTACAATAATATCTGAGTCCTGGCTGTCCACAACATTATTTTTCAATCTTTTGACATTGCTTTTGCCATGCTCAGGGAAGTTCTCCGCTTTTGATTTCCTTTTTAGAGATAATTCACGAGTTTTTGATTGGCTACTTAGAGAGGAAAGCAGGGTTAACAAAACTTGAGGATCAGGAAGCAAAGCTCGAACTTCATTCTGAATTTCTTGCTTAATAGATGCCCAATCTTGTTCGACATCCTTGGAACAAGAACAGCTTTGACTATTTAAAGCCCCCATTAAGGAGTTCAGCAACTTAAGTTCCTCCGAAAGAAGCCTCAAAGTTCCATGCTTCACTAGAAAATCCAAGTGAAGCAACCCTTTATTGATTACTGATCGGGAGAACGAACGAGGACACAGGCATTTCATGACATTCTGCAAGAATCCACTATGAGATGAAGCTTGATCGTGAGATTGAGAAGCAAGGAAATCAAACTTAAGGCCTTTTCCCACTGAGGAAACCAAGTTTGCTGCCAAAGTCACAATAGCAAACCTGCAAGTGACCAACTCACCATTCAAACATACAGGAACATAGAACTAAACAACCTAAAATAAAAATTAAAAAAAAAGGAAAATTATATGATGAAAGGGCAGATATAATACAAACTACAAAGTAGAAATCGGATGAAAAATCTGACCAATTGGGTGATGCGTAATCTTCGAGGTTGTAAGGAAACTCTTCCATATATGCTGCACCAAATGACGGCCTCCCACTAACAATAGCCAAGAGCAAATCTCTATGATAGACAATCTCAGTTGCTCTCAGCTTCTTCATTAGGTCCAAAAGTCGTCTCATATTACCCTTCAACGGCCTCGGTCGTCTAAAAGGATCTGGCATCAACCCATTACAAGGGTCAATACAGACCAAAACAAGAACATTGTATGCCAACTCTGCAGCAGACCCTCCATTCTCCCTGCCGGAAATCTCAACTAATTGTTCCAAAGTGGCACTCCCAAAAAGAACACTCCTAAGCCCCGGAGGCACCAACGATGCTTCGACAAGAATCCTATCCCTCAAAGTGGACAAAACATATACAGCAGTTTCATCATCATCGTTCCCGAGTCCCCGGAGGACGCCGGAATACATTTCCCTCTGCTGCAACACCCACCTCAACAACCCAGGCTTGCCCACCTCCAAAAACGACATGGCAAACTCGACAAAAGACCTCCTTGAAGACCCCTTTACTCTCTTCTCATTCTTCATCCTCTTGTACCCCGCCAGCTTTGAAAACCCTTTAAGCTTAAAATCAAAACTCTTCGCCACATCCGACGCCAACCCCGACCCGCGCCTAACAACCGAAGCCATCAGCTTCAGCACCGCATTTTGGCTCTTGGTTTCCCTACTATTCATCTCCTTATACACATCTTGCATATATTCTTCAATAATCAATTTCGAACACTTATCCAAAACTCTACTTATCCCAATTCCCTCCTTATCATTCGGCCTATATTTCCCACAATCATGACTCAAAACAGCAGAAATCAATCTGAAAATGTACGACAAACCGGATTTTCCTCGCCGAAGCTTCCAAGCATCTAGAAGCTCCGAACATCGAGGCGAACTCCTTACATAATACCTGAGAAATTCGCCTCCGGAATCGGCTTTAAGCAACTTGATGAACTCTTTAGTCGCGTCGGAGCATAACTTAATCTCGATCGAATTGATTTTGTGCAACAGTTCCTTGAGCTTAGCTTCGTGGTTCACTTTGAGTTCGAATTTCGGAACTTTCTCGTCCTCGATTTCGCTCTCGTAATCGTCGTCCGCCATAGCTGCGAAAAAAAGTTGCCAAATTTTACACCTGAAAATACTGAAAAGAAAAATAGTAAACAAAAAATCGTGAATTTAGGGCTGTATAGTGACCTTCGGAAGCAGAATTCGGTTCCTCCATTGATGATCAGAGAGAGAAGAGAGAGATTGAATTGTTGTTATCTGCGATTTGATGGTTTTGGAGTTTTAGGGTTTAAGGAGGGAGAGCGTTGGGGAAGACGAGGGTTTAGGGAGGAGTTTGGCTGGTTTAGGGATGTGTTTGGATACAGAGGGATTAATGATCTTGTCTAGAATAGGTATGAGCTTCTCTGTACTGACGGAATTCCTAATGCCAAGTGGAAGACACTCCCTCTCAGGTCATAAAATTCAACAACACCCAAAACAAACAAAAACAAGGGGTGAAAAAAACCCTACAACTCGGCGAACCAATTAACCTATCAAACTCGACCGTTATAACCCAAACCCCGACCAACCCGATTAAAATATTAGAGACATTTGGTTAATGGATTAAAATTATGATATTAGAATTATTTTTTATTTACGTGTATTTTTTGTGAGAGAAAACACTGTAGCGAACTATGAACTATGATTCAAATCATGGTATGAATCCCCTGACCAAAGGTCTCCTAACTTAACCTAACGTAACTCGAATCCGTTCAATATTTTCCTACCTATTTATATAAACTTTTCCTATCTCTTAATATGTTGTCCTATATATTGTATTAATTACTTGGAAACCTATTATGTTTTCTGGTGTATGTTTTGAACTTATTTTGTACATATTATGTTTTTATATTGGCTAAAGACTTATGAGACAATTTTAGAATTTCAGAAGACTAATATTACGGTGAAAGTTAGCTTGCTTTCCTTATGTTTCTTATTTTGAGTTAAATGATTAGTTTTTTATTTCTTTATTATGTTCAACCCGCTCAATCTATCCAACTCTCTTAAATTTTAATTAGGTGGATTGATTTTAAACATTGGGTTAATCAAGTAGATTAAATTTAAAATCAACCCACCCAAACCTCATTGGTTGGGTTAAAAATATTGGGAATGGTGTCCTAAAAGTATAAGATACAATAGGATATTTATTATTTATTTAATAAAAGATTTTATTCATTATTTTATGTGCATATATTATAAAATATTTTTATGGATATCACTGAAAATTACATGATCATTTATGCGACTTTAAATATTGTATATAAATGTTATATGCGATAAGATAATATTTAAGGATAATAATCAAAACGATGTTCATAATGAATTTAATTAAAGTTCATAATCTTTAATTAAAACATTACTAATGCATGTCATTCCCATTTAGAATGGAATAGTATTATCCGCACTATTAATATGCCAATATATTTAATGAGTATATTACGCATAATGAGATTGTGTGGAATTAAGACACAGACACAATATGAATTTCTGATAATTTCCCTTAAGTATTGAAATTCTAATTTTGTCTATCAATTGTCATATATAAAATGATTTTAGTCCTGAGTTATTAACAGACTCATATTTATGGATTTGTGTCTTTTAATTTACTCGGTACGGATTCCTAGATATTGAATCTTATTCCTTATATTTTTTAGACATGATGAAGTGAGTAGTTGGGAATGTTATTATACGAGATGGAATCCATTCATTCTTGAGAAAGAAGTAGATAAATAATTCGCTTAAATGTTGATTCGGTACTTAGAATTGTAGGAACTCTGATTCATGAATTTGTTTTATGAATCATTGTCCATTAGAGAATCAATGGTACTCAAGGATAAAGATGTAATTAGAGAGGTTAACGGATTTCACCTAACTCTAATTATGAATTATTTATGGAGGATTAATCTATATGTAATATATATCAAATGGATACTTCAAAGTTTAGAAATAATTTATATCTATAATTACGATAGTGCAATTCCAAGTTTATAGTTGAGTAACTTTTGGAATTAATAAAATTAATTAATTAATTAAAGAGTTTAATTAATTATTAATTTTATTGGAGTTCGGAATTATAAGTTCATGAGTTCTCACGCCGTCCTTGTAATCCTACAAGACACTAAGGGCAAAATCAGAATTTTAGAATTATGGAATTCTAAATAAAATGCTCAAGGATGATTAATTGAGAATTAATTATAAATTAAATAATGTGATTATTTAAATTTGATTTTTAGAGCACACATGTGGAGGTGTCCACATGGTGTCTATGTGGTGTGAATCCCTCTGGGACTGCAAGATAAAGATAGAATTTTGCCTTCTTCTCTTCCTGTTATTTTTGCCTACCACAGGGAGGAATCTCCTTGTGGTGGCCGGCCATATGGGATAAGGAAGATAGTGAATTTGATTTCCAAAATCAATTAGAAGTGGGAGATAATTATCAAGCTTTATCTTAGAGATAAAGTTTAGACTTCTTCTGGGAGTCTGACTATTACTCTATAAATAGGAGATTGAAGAAAATTGAATAATAAAATTTTTGTTCTCCCTAGCATAGGTGGCCCAATTTTATAGAGTGAGAAAATGAAAAATTTTCTCCCAAAATCCACGTCGTGCATGTGTTGGTGTTTGTAGAAAACTTGAGTGTTTTTCTTGCTAATCCTGTTTTGTTTCAAGTGTGCCCACGCATACGTCTTCGTAGATTTAAGGAATTGACAAGAAAGATTCGAGTATTCTAAATAAGCTTGGAGCGAGGAAGGTTCGTGGTCAAAGAACTCAACTTATCGACCTAATCGTTTGCTAGGTAAATAAATTAATTTGATTAATTTATTCGTATATAAATTAATGTAATCTATAAAATATCTCAAAGGTTTGTAAAATTTTTGTTATGCACGATCTGTTAGATACACGCTTCTGCATAGAAAATCGTTTTCAAAACCAACAAAAAAATCTCAAAAAAACCCAATCAACCCACGCGATGTTCATCCCTAACAAAAATTGTAGGAGCCAACATTTTTTGAGATTTTTTCTCAAAAATGTGATTAGCAAAAATAACTTGTTTCAATAATTCTTTACGTGTCTAACAAACTAGAATAATCTTTGCAAAATGATATTTTTCAAATTTTTAACAATACAAAGTACCATCCTTTTACATAACACAGAAAACACATTAAAACCAATATAATTTTAAAAATAAATTAGAATTTGAGATTATTGTGTTGGTAACCGAATCGAATTCGGATGCGGAAGCGTGGCGGGGAGGGCGGATCAAGTATAACAAAAATTTTTATAAAACTTTTGAGATACTCTATAGATTATATTAATTTATGCACGAATAAATTAATCACATTAATTTATATGTCAAGAACTCAATTAGGAAAAATACCTGGAGGCCGACTCGGATGATAACTTGAATTCCTTGACCTCGAACAATCCTTTGTCCAAGCTTTGTGTTTAGAAAACTAAAGTCTTCCACGTCAATTCCTTGATTCTACGTAGACGTGTCTGTGGGCACACGTAAGACAAAACAAGTTTCAAAAACACTCGAATTTCTACAAACACCAACGCATGCATGATGTGGAATTTTTTGGGAGAAATTTTTTTTCTCTCTTTCTATAATAGGGAATTCGGCCAGCCCTCTAAAGTCTAGGTTAAAAATTTGTCACGCGTAATTTTTCATCATCCCTTATTTATAGAGTAGAAGTCCAACTTCTAGAATGAATCAAATCTCTATCTCTTGTTTGAATTTTGAACAAAAATTCTCCTCTACCTTATCCTTATATGACCGGCCACCCTAGGGTTTACTATCCCTGTGTGTGGCGCCAATTGCAGATAGGGAAAG